ACATTTTAAACGACATAAGTGTGAACTTGTCGTAAAATTGAAACCGAGAATCGGCCCATTAGTTAACATTTGTTATATAACTTTGTAATTTCAAAATACATTGCGCGTACATTTCATTTAGTTAACACTTGTTATATAACTTTGTAACATAAAAAGTTACATTGCGGCAACAAGTAGTGTTTACTGGGTACTCATGGTATTTTTTACATGATAAATGATGCAGTAAGGGAAGAAATCAGTGTTGACCAGTACGGCTGTTTTCCATTTGAGAGTTATTTGGGACAGTTACTAAAATTGATACGAGGACCAGCAAAGCTTTTGCAACAAGTATCATGCAGACTACTCGAACAATTTCATGATAAATCGAATGTAGATCCAAATGATATTGAAATACATAAAAAAAAATCCAAGATTGATTCTGTTAAAATAAATGGATATAAAATATATTTGTCAATTAATAAGGATTGTCATATATTGCTCCCTAATAAAAACATAATGTGTGTAGATGAAATAATTGAACAGGAATCGCATTTACTTTTTCGAGGGTTTCTCTTACCCTTTTAACCCACACTTGAAAACAAAGTTTTAAGGTCTTTGCTCATACATTTTTTAGCATTGATGTAATCAATTGCTTTTTGTTTGTTCCGCCGGTCAGAGTTAGTTGAATCGACTGTAAATAAGAATTCAATAAATACATTGCATATTAGCTATAGAAACATTAACTATAGAAAATATTTGTAATCCCTGAAGATATCCACATTTTTCAGCTTTTCTTCTAAATCGTCTAATTCTTCATTCGTCTTAATAGGTAACATAAAGTTAGTTTTTTTTCACGGATTTAATCTGTGAAGCTGATGCCTCGTAGAGGTAGAGCTCAGAGTGTTATCGTCTGAGCTCTCAATACACGATTGATTTTGAGTTCTTTTTACATACTTCTTCACGTTTTTATAATCGGTGGTGCTTCTCATAAACTTAGCCTCCAATTCAGAGTAATCTCTAAACGAAGGAGGCTCGCACGCCTTCAGCATCTTACTTAGTTTATAGCCTGCTGCATTTTCTGATCATAATTACATAGTCTTCTCCTCGTTTACAGCCCATGATGAGGGCACGTGTCCGCATGAACCCTCTTTTTAAAAATCACTATATCCCATGAACACTATCAAATATAATGGTACCAATTTTGAAATTTATTTATTACTATATATCAGTTATAGTTATTACTATAACTAATTATTTCAAATATTTAAATTAAATAATTGAAATTCATTTTTAAAAGAACTTACCTCCATATTCACTTATTTAAAATTTAACTACGTAAACTTATCTTTAAACAAATACCTGCAACTGTTGCGACGATCAAAACTGGAAAGAAATACGAAATGCAATTGCGATCCTTGCAACTACAGAAAATTAAATTTTGGCGCGATTATTTATTAGTGTGGGCACTGATTTATATTTTCTTCAAAACCAAATGCGTAGAAAATGTTTCGCAATATGCATTTATTAGAATATATAGGATGATATATTCATAAATAATATCAATAACAACTATGATACAAATAATATTGATAATGACATAAATAGGAGTATTTTTAGTAAATGTAAATAGATCGAACCAAATTATTGAACGTGTATATAACTGGCAGACTCACAACTGGCATGCCCAGGTATTTGACAGTTTTGTGGGCGTGGCTTATCGGCGAAGGCGTGGCTACATTTAAAACCTAATTTTTTTATGAAAATGATTAAAATATAATAATTTATTCAATTAAATTTCATTTATTTTGCATTATCTTTGTTTGACATAAAAATCTTTAACCTACATTCAAGTATTTTTACATATGTCATAGTACATTGATACCAAACGACATGATCTGCCGTGTCAAAATATGTTCGAAGATATATTCAAATAGTGCAAATCATTGCGAATATTTATCAATTACTGTATTAAAAAGTGGTGAAAAGTGAATATTTATTAATTATTGTATTGAAAAGTTGAAAAAAGTGATTAGAGGTTCTGCAAAAAGTGATTAGATCGTTCTTCCAAATGATCGACATAGTGAAAGTTGTGTTTTTTTTTTGATAAATTAGTCGCGGGCCTGCCAGTGTTTATTTGGCACAGTTTTTACATTTATCTTATTAATAACTGAATTAGTGATGAATATTAATAAATAACTATGAATATAAAGTAATAATGTTGTGTTTTATATTAGTTCGAAAACGTTTTCAGCCTACTTTTTGCAATTGTTAACAATCGTTCTTGAGGTTATGTTAGTCGCGGGTCTGCCGGGTTTTATTTGGCCCATTTTTGTGCCAAATGTGAAAATAATGAAATCAGTTAGTTGCAAGTCAAACATCCAAGCTATGTATCATATATATTAATTAATATTGATTCTAAAATTGTAAGTTGAAGAGTGTCAAATGATATAAGACTTGATTTGTCTTTTGCCCAGATTTTTCTGAGAATATCTTGAAAATCCACAACAATGCTTGCGGCATATATAGTGGGCTTGAAATTATACATGATATATTAGTTATTATAGAATAGAATGCTAAACAAAGTCATTTTGAAAATATATATATATATATATATATATATATATATATACCCCTGAAAAAAATACAAATATACAATATAGAAAACAATAAAATTTACGCTTGAATATGAATCTTTTTATTTCAGAAATAATTTATCTTACTTAAATTTAATTTTAACATATTGTGCAGCCATGGATGTTATTTACCATTGGAATTGGAGTTCCTATCCTATCATTACCGTGGTTGCTACCGCGGCCGCCACGGTTGTCTTCGCGGTAATTTCCGCGGCCACCGCGTTTGTTTACGCGACCGCCGCTGTTGTTTCCTCTACCGCCATTGGTGTTTTCTCTACCGCCGCGGTTGTTTCCTTCACCACGGCCGTTGTTTCCTCTACCGCCGCGGTGTTTTCTATGCCGCGGTGTTTTCTATGCCGCCGAGGCTGTTTCCTCCGCCGCCGCGGTTGTTTCCTCTGCCGCCGCCCCAACTCGCATCGTCTGTGGACTAAAATAATAATTAATAATATTATAATACCTGAATGCTATGTATTGTTATAAAAATGTATTATTATAAAAATTTAACATTACCTTTTTGTAACTATAAAATCTTATTTCTTGATCTTTGAAAAAATGTAGGAAGTATTCCTCCACGTTTCCACTATCTTCATAAAGAACCGGCAGGAGCGATAATACACGCTCCTCCTTTTGAAACAGCAATTTTATCGTTTCGAAGCATAAACTAACGCCCTTTATTTTGTAACCTATTATAAAGAAAAATTATGAAAAATCCCTTAACTATACCAATGTATACATGTATGTATATATATATATATATATATATATATATATATATATATATACATAAAAAGAAATATATACCTTTGTTATGCTCCGAACACACAACAAAACCGTGTGACCAAGAAACGATGTCACCGAAACATCTCCTAATTTCGTTGGTCTCGATTTTGCACTCGAGCTATAATAATAAGAATGTTCTAATTACACACATGTCGTGAAGAATAAAAAGTGGATTTAAATTACTTACACAAGCCTATCTTTCCAATGGGACTCAGTTTGTTAATATTATCAGTATCTCTTCTTTCGGTATTTTACTCACTAGCGTGAAATTCCTCACAGCTCCCGCCATTTTATTTAAGAATGCTAGAAAAATAAAAACTATAATAATAGAAACGAAGAAATAGTTTTTAAATAAAATTATATATGTAATTTTAATAATACGCTATACATATCAATAAAAATCATGAATTTTTGTAAAAAAATATTATAATTTCTTACGTTTCAGCATTAAAAAATACAAAAGTTACAAAAAGCTGAAAGTACTTACAAATTTTTTATTCTAGTGTTAAAAAGAGACTTTTTAAAAAATTCATTCAAATTCAATTTCGAAAGATTTACGATTCCTATACTCTACTTTAATAATAATAATGTTTAAATTGTATATAGCTTTCTCTGTAAACTAAGTGGTGGCAATATGATTCAGATCAGATGCCATTATAATAAATAAATAAAAAAAAAAAGTTTAAATTTTGAATACTTTTGGTTCAAATCAATCAACAATTACGGAGTATTTTCTAAAATGAAATTTTCAAAAATCATTAATGTTTATAATTGAACCATCAGTTTTCTTAGTACTATAATCGTAAAGTATGTTCATTAAGACCAGGTCGCTATACCAAGCCAATCTTTAATTTTAATTTTAACAAACGTCAAAAAAACTGATTTTCTCAAAATTTGATGAATTTTTAAAATTAATCTACCTGTTGTAAGACCGTAATATAAAACTTATCAGTATCATTTCCAACAAATATCTTTCGAACATTTTTTGAATGTTCAAAATCGATTGAGAATAGCGGGCCAAAACGTGGACTAAAATTTTTATTATAATCAAAACTATTTGTGGTTATCTGCACCTACTTATATTAAATTCAATTAATTTCTTCTTTAAACAAAAATACAGCAATTTACGAAAAATATTATTATTCACGCGACAATTTTCATACCGTTTAACAAGATGTGCGATTGCCCGATAATCTTGGAAAAACCTCAGAAGTTTGGCCTCAAAAAGGATCTATTAATACAAACATAATCGCTTATTGTTGGGCTATGAATTTAATACAGCGGATGTTCGGGTACATATTAAAAGATTATAAACGTGAACAAACATCAAGTCTTTTGAAGGAAATCATGTAATTGCATTAATCACAGTAATATAAAACTAATCAGTATCATTTCGAACAAATATCTTTCGAACAGTTTTTCAATTTTCATAATCAATTGAGAATAGCGGGCCAAAACGTAGACGAAATTTTTTATTATAACCAAAACTATTTGTGGTTATCTGCATCTACTTATATTAAATCCAATTAATTTCTTCTTTAAACAAAAATACAGCAATCTACGAAAAATATTATTATTCACGCGACAATTTTCATACCGTTTAACAAGATGTGCGATTGTCCGTTATTCACTATAAGTGGGGAAATGTTAACAAATGCGCCATCCCTACTGCAAGGGCAAGTGACACGTGGCGTCAAAAACATTTAAATAATTTAAAATTGGCGAAGAATTACCACAATATTATCCTCACAGGAAACTCCCTTATAGCAAACTTGGAGAGGCATCCCAGTTGGGACAAGTTTCAAACATTTCAAACTGCAAATTTTGGAATTGGAGGCGATAAAGTGGAAAATGTTCTTTATCGTTTAAAAAACGGCGAAATATCAAATCTGAAAACTAAAATTGTGGTTATATTGGCAGGAACAAACAACACGAAACATAGCAAACCGCACGAAATTTATGAAGGAATTATTAAATGTGTGAGCATTATTAAAGAATTGCTTCCGAGTGCTCGCATCATTTTACCCACCATGCTTCCAAGAGGAAGAGTACCAAATGCCCAACGCGATTGCCTGCAAGTCGTAAACAGTTTATTAAATCAATTTAACAAGATAAATATGAATAGAAGACATATTCACACAGTGCTTTGTTTTATAATTTACATTTGATATATTCCATTCTATCATTCGAAAACGTTGCCGAACTAATATCAAACACAACATTATTACTTTATATTCATAGTTATTTATTAATATTCGTCACTAATTCAGTTATTAATAATATAAATATAAAAAATGTGCCAAATAAACACTGGCAAATCCGCGACTAATTTATCAAAAAAACACTACTTTCATTATGTCGACCCAATATAAAACACAACATTATTACTTTATATTCATAGTTATTTATTAATATTCATCACTAATTTAGTTATTAATAAGATAAATGTAAAAAATGTGCCAAATAAACACTGGCTGGCAGACCCGCGACTAATTCATCAAAAAAAAAACACAACTTTCACTATGACGACCCAATATAAAACACAACATTATTACTTTATATTCATAGTTATTTATTAATATTCATTACTAATTCAGTTATTAATAAGATAAATGTGAAAACTGTGCCAAATAAACACTGGCAGGCCCGCGACTAATTTATCAAAAAAAGTTATAATTCTTGAAACATAAGCATGCTAGTGCACTCGAATATATGTTTGCCTATTACAGTTGAATGTTTCAGCGACGTACAATTAATATGGGTGTTTCGAAGAGCCATTTCTATTTTGTTATCATGCCAGCCTTCGTAAAAGGCGCTCCGACGGAACTGATGTTACCGGTATACATATTTTTTTTGGTTTCTCTGGTGAAACGCATTCTTTTCAACGTTTAAAATACTGCTTTGACCAGCGGCCTGCAGCATTTGCGTAGTAAAAACATGCTCTTTAATTTATTGATATTGATAACTTTCTATAAACATAGTTCAAAAATCACTCTCACATAGTGTTGCACGAATTATTAATTTGGTGTTGAAAGCGATTGTATGCTTTTGAGTATTTTTAACTTTTGCATTAAATGCCCTTTTCCAGCTTCTTCATACATGCCATGAACAAAGTAAATGGTTGTTTGTTGAAGTCATGACAGATACCATGCATTGTAATATGCGTGTGCATCATCAGGCATAAAAGTTAAGGTGGCAACTTTTTTTACTTTACTACTATTGAACTACAAATTTTCTCAAAAAATAATTTAAATACAGTTTTGTCTTGCCGATTGGTGAAACAAAATGCTGCGGGATAACCTACCCCAAACACATCAATCACAAGAAGAGTATGCAGGTTAAATCAATAAGAATTTGCACCATGAGATCCATCTATGCATGTTTTATCATGTCTATATTCATTTAAAATAGTAGCTTGCAATATAGTCATTACGACCACAAAAAGATCATCTTCTTCTAGTATCATGTTCTACGTTTTATTATTATTATCTATATGGGTAGGGTATGGTAGCACTGCTTTGCACTTGATATTTCGAACATCTTTCTTGGTAATTATTGAGCCCTCAATGGTAAAATTTTTTCATATGCTGCACTTTGAATACTGATGATAATTTTATTATCCGAAACTCCTGCTATAACTTAATAATGGTGGCCTATACTCGAAATTTATTCTATAAATTGGGAACAATTTTCCTCATATCTTTCCATGATTCTATGGTGTTGCTTGCTATAGGCGTGACTGGTTTATTTAGATATAAATCTATTTCATCACGTCTTTTATTTCCTTTTTCTCTGGCGCAATTTCTTATGTAACTGCCAAAAGTCGAAACTGTCTGGCGTGGCATCAATATCTAAACTTGTAGTAGAATTGTTCAAACATATTTGATTTTTCAATGCATGTATTGCATTTGAGGCAGCATTGGTGTTTTTAAAATGCAAGTTTTTAAAGCGTTGATCGAGCAATGTGGCTAGAATGGACGGAATGAAACTTATTGACAACAAGGCTTTTGTAGGATCCAATGAAAGCACTGCAAGAAGGTTTGCGATTATTAACCCCGTGACTTCTAATACTACCAAAAAAAAATACATTTTTTTTTTCATTTTTTCATTTTGTCAACTCGTAATTTAATTAAAATTACGAGTTTACAAAAATTTAATTTCCGGACACTTTATTTTCTGTCAAATATATTCGAAACCAATGTTCTAAAAAAATTTGAATAGTTGGTGGTGTTTTGGTTGTGTTGATGTTTAACTCTCTTGTCTTTCTTATAAAAGCATATGCTTTTTGAGACATGTTTAGCTTCCTTCCAAAATACTAAATGCTTAGACTTATCTGTAAGAGCACTGCCTAGACCTAGGCCCTAGAGGTTTATAGTCACTGGCAGAACTGGAGGCTGTTTCATTTACACTGTCAAACAGCTCTTCTATGAATTTCAGGAAATCGACAGTCCTAGTACCTTCTTGAGGAAAATTATCATCTAGAATACGATTAAAAGAGGTTGAATTATAAATGCGATTAAATATATTTTACATTATTTTCATTTACTCACACTGCTTAGTAGCATATCTGTGCATCATTGAAAAAACGCTATAAGAGAACACCACTGCAGCATCTGTCACTCTCATCTTCCTCATTTTGTCAGGATACACGTTATGTGCTCGTAACTTCTAACACATGCGGAAATTGGGCAACTCTGAATTAATTTCGAATATCTTAATTATATGGCTCCAGAATGCCCTTTTTTGCTGATTACGTTGAATAAAAGTGACATCATATGATGAAAAGCTGTTTCTCAAACATTTCAACATATGTGGCGAATCAAAAAGTGGTATGATTTCCTGATCACCAACAAGAAACCCTTTAAGTTTGCAACTTCTATCTTCTTTGAGAAACTGTGCTCTTGTCTCGTTAAGCAACAAGTTGATTGCGGTAACATTTGTAGCATGCTGATCACATACATTGGCTACAACATTGATACCAATGTCCTGCAGGCTTGACATATCGTCTCTTATACAAACTTTAAGTTCAGCGTTTTTGACGCTACTTTCAACAAAGTAGAATGCCTCTGATGTTTTAAAGTGGCCACGAATGCCTTTATTCATGAACACTAAAGCATGGTCAGCAAACTTTGGTCTCCTCTCTGAAACCTCCTCGAAGCCTGTTATGTTATCCTTAAGCCGGCCACAGACGTAACTGTACACATGTGCAACTGAATGAATGCGCAACCAAGCGTATTTTTACAGTGCCCACAGACGGCTCAAGTTTATGTTCAAGTATTTGCGCAAGCATATCACAAATATCAACTAAGAAACGTCAAGACATAACCTAAAAATATATCTTTTATTAATTTATATATTCACAGCATCAGAAAAGAATTCGAAGTGTTTAGAGGGCTAATGTAAATACTTTCAATTGTTGATAACTTCATAAATTTGAATTATGTATTCGCTACAAAGTAATACAAAAACGGAACATGTGCTGCCGCACGCGGTCTACGAATGAACTTGCCGACTTGAATGATTGCGCAATTAAAATAATCGAAAAGTGCTCTTTACTCTCATCATAATCAATGCCTGCAGAAATGCTTATTTCGTCAAACATCAGAACACAGTTTCTATTAGATGGATCCATATTTAGAACAGAAGTACGCAAAGTCTCCATGAAAGTTTTATTGATACCAGAGCTGATCGGAATATTAGCCAAGGACTAGATAAAATGGTAAGGTGAAGATAAAAAGAACCTCCAATATTTGTAACAGGATGGACTCTGTTTGTACAATGCGATTCCCAGTGTTTTTTAATCGAGGTTGTATCTTCTTCCTTCAGGCTGTTTCGGCTGTTTTTTCATCTGGCATTTGATCAATGTCGCAGTTATTGAATTGACAACATTTTCAACTTCTTTCATGATGTTTGTACTGCAAGCCTTCTTTAGCTCAGCTCTGGCAATTTCATGATTTTTCATAATTCGTCTGGCACTTCTCTTCGTTGTCATAATTATATCATGACATTTCTTTAATTGTGATGTATGCTGCCTGCGATGCTTTACACCTATAAACTTCAAGAAATTTCTTCTTGGTGTTCGAATATCTAAGAAAATGAATGATTCTATTAGAGAAAATAAGAAATATATCTTTTCAAGAAACGTTGAAATACCTGATCATCTTATAGAAATATGAGGTACATTAGCAGGAACATCTGGAACAACCGGAATATCTGGAACATGTGAAACATCTGGAACGTGCGCATATAGATCCACTGAAATTTAATTTATAGTTATTAATTTGTCTAAAATTTCAAGTAAAAGTTGTATGAAACCATTTTAAATAACCTTCAATAAGAGAAGCATCTAGGAGTTCAGATTGCAAAGAAGTGATTTCATTTCAAATGACAATTTCTTTCTTTAGTAACTTTCCTGCAAGTGGCAATTCATTTGATTTTAATGGCACTGAAAAGTGCATCGTAAAAATG